AAGGAAGGAAGGAAGGAAGGAAGGAAGGAAGGAAGGAAGGAAGGGCCTTTCAATGCTGCCACGGGGCACATTTCTGCTTGAATGGGCCAGCAGAGGTAAAGCCGAACCGATGCACTACTTACCACATTATTTGGTTTCCATTCAGCTGAACTTTAAACGGGTTCGGCTTTTCCCCGCTGGGTGTTTAAAGAATAATTGTTGGTAAAGCCCCCTGCCCGTGCACTAGCTTCATCTTCACCAGATTGTGGATTCAGGAGGTGCCACCCAGAACCGATGGCACTAGGCATCCACCCTTCTGCTTCTGTGTTCTGGATATTTAAAGAGCTGTGTTTTTCCCCTTGCCAGCCTGGAATGGCTTGGCATTCCAGTCTTTGGGTTGCTTGGAGAAATCAACAGCTTCTGTCGCTGGGCTGTCTTGCTCTCCCGTAACCAGGCTGTGTTTTGCAGAGAATGTGTGTTTTTGTTGTGCTTTCCAGAGTGCTGGGAATAAATTGCTGGCTCTGTGCTCAGAAAAGACACCAGTTAGGGCCAGCCACAAAAAGCCTGTATTCTTAGGAAATGTATTCATCAGGGATGATGTAACTGCCTCACTGCTGGCTGGTCTCTGGCCAGCCTCTCTCTTGGGCTATTGAGCTTACATCATAAAGAGGCTGGTGGCTCTCCTAGCCGATTCGGTGTGGGAAGATGTCAGTTTTGCTACTATGAGACTCGGTTTCCCGCTGCAGGGCATTTTGATTCGGCAAGATGGCTTTTGCCTAGGGTTAGATTCAGGTTCAAGTCTCAGATCCACGACTTCTTGGCGGTAACTTAGGACAAGTGAGTTGGCTCTTTGTGCTCAGTTCCCTCTTTAATGTTGGCTGCCCTGTGGATCTTAACTGGTTTTTTAACAGCTGGCACAGGGACCTGCCTATCCTGACTCCTTTGTAATTGATTCCAGTTATAGCCAGAAATGAGTGAGCTGAATGGAAGAATGCCAGTCCTCGGGACCTGTTGGCCCTTTTGGCTGTGCTGGAGATGTTGAATACATCTTGGTTTCCTCAGCTGCTGTCAAGATGAAATGGGAGATGTGATTAAAGTGGGGAGCCTCTCGTGTCATTGGAACATAGCGGGTCCCTCGTCATTGTTTCATTTTCTTACCCGGCTATGTGTGGTGTGTTTGAGTCTTCACTACTAGGCATG